TTATCGAGATGAACCTTTGGTATTTCTTTCTGAGGTAGGCCATTGTTAGGAATGATAGAGAGGCCTTTACTTGATCATTAGGGCTGTGTGAGGCTTCGGACTGTGCTTTGGATCTGGAGAAGCTTCAGATGCTTTGGCATCTGAAGCAGCATGTCTGGATTGACGCGCCAGCTTCTTTAGGCTTTCTGAAGTGGTTCCGAGATTCTAAACCACCTCGGAAAAGCTTCGGAGCCACTTCGGAGATCCGGCCATAGGGTATAATGGGGAATCAGTGAAATATCTATAACTTTATTGTTTTTTGTCTGATTTGGATGAAACTTCCGCAGCTTAAGGTGCAGTTCCCCCCAAACCCCTGCACCTATCACCTTGAAACTTGGCAGGCTTTGTGGCCTCAAGAGCCAGTGGCTACCACCCCTTCAAGTTTCATCCAAATTGGACAAAAAACAACAGTTATAGATATTTAATTGATTACCCATTATACCCTATGGCCAGATCTCCGAGACAGCTTCAAAGCTTCGGAGCCACTTCGGATGGATCAAAGTGGGAAACCGATCCAGAGCTCTGGATTGGATCCCTGGCATCTGAAGCAGCCAGATCCAAAGCCAGACTGAATAGCTGCCTACTCACACAGGCCTATTGATCATTACAGAAGGTGCGATGGGATATTATTAAAAACTTGAATAAGGTTTAAATGCTGAAATATTTTAAAGAGTCAAAGTTCAGAAGCAGGAATTTGGTTGGAAATACATACATTTTTCTTTCCACCTTCTTGGGAGGTGAATGTCTCATAAGTAACTCATGAGTGCGCTCTACAGAGCACCGATCTTGTGGATACTCCTGATTACTGCTTTGGGGATTTGTGACAGTTAAATCAAAGAGACTTTGTAAAGCTATTTCTAAGCCATCTATGTACACATTTCACTCATAGATACACAAAGATGCATATATACACAAACACACACACACACCTATGCCTATGCATATACATATACAATATAAAAAAAAGCACCTGCACACGAAGCACTGGCTCAGTTTCCTTAGCCTGTCTGAGAAACTTATGAAACTTTGGGCTCATACAGAAATCACAGTTTTTGCCTGATCTGGCCATGGAAAGCAGCCTATATCCATGACCTAACGCAACTTCATGGCTCCAGATTGCTTCAAAAATGGCTGTTCGGGTGAAAATCTGACCCTTCATTGCAAGAGGGGTCAGATGAAGTTGTTTCAAAACATAGCATCTTCTGTAACATATGTATATTGTATATACATTGTATATGTATCTGCCTGCCTACCAGCCTCCAAGCTGTATTCAGAATGGGAGTGGGGGAAGGGAATGGAGGGATTTTGGTTTGGGTTTTTTTAGCTCCTGCTGGAGGGTGGAGTGGTTGTAGTGTAGTGGCCCCCCCCGAGATGGTGAGGGGACTCCAGTTCACCCACCCCACCCTCCAGTGTCAGCTGGGAAGCCCCTAGAATGAGCTTCCTCTGATCCCTTTCCCTGCTTCTATGAAAATAGCGCAGGCTAGCAGGGAGGAAGGGTTGTTGCTAGGGGCAAGTGGCTGCACACTTGTAGCCAGCATCTAGATTCCTCCACCACCCTGAAATGAACAGTGAACTTCTGTTTGGTCTGGGGATTGTTGTAACTCAGAACACTTCCTGCAAAGTGTTCTGAGTTACAGGGGGACCTGCACTTCTGGATGTGCCCAAAGGCCACATCCAAATATGCACGCACGTGCGTTTCCCCAGGGACAAACAGCAGTGGCACACAGTTCCCAGAGCACATGGCAAGTTCCCCTGGGTGGGGTAAGGGAAGCTGGGCTGGCCCCAGCAGCCTTACCTGGGATCCTGGGAGCTTCCTGGGGCTCCAGTAATTGTGATCTGGTGCACGGTGCCTGGCCAGCAGCTGGAGTGTGGCTCCAGCTGGCCAGGCTCCAGTTTTGGGTTTCACATGCTGCTGCCATGTGTGCCACCCCACTATTTTTAGGCACAGATTTTTTTTGACACTGGGATCTCCCAGGGGCAACCCCCACCCCCCACAACACACTGTTAATTTGCAGCACAGTGAATGCCTGTATGTGTGGCACATGTAGTTTGTGGTGCCACAGATGGATCTGCAGAGCAACATAACCACACATCCTTTGTGTCTTTCAGGAGTTTAGGCCCCTTCTGCACCTCTTTCCTCATCATCTTGTTGTGTTCTGCTTTTAAACAGAAACTTCTAACATCCTGTCCTTCTCTTACAGTTATTCCATTTCCAACCCACAGCATACTGTGTCTTTTTCTTGCCCTTTGTTTCTTAAAGCATCTAACTTCCACTAGTTAATCAAAGGTTTTGAGTCTGAAGTATCCATTGTCTGGTAGGAATGTGCTTATTCAGTTGCTGATGGTCCATTAAGCGACAGATGATCAGGTACCAGACCCTCAACCCTTAATTCAGGTAGTATATAATGGAAAGATACAGTAAGAGGTGTTAGTAATATTATAAACAGGCAAAGATCATGAAGCCAAACTGCAATTCCTAAATTTAGCATTCATAATCATTTTATTTTTCATTTCCTTTATACAAGTAGCAGTGCTTTCTCTTCTAGCATGTTTCCATTCATAATATTTAGCCAATTTTATGTAAGGGCCTCTACAATTTTCTAGTGGAAAGAGCTGAACAATTCATGGTATTAAAGTCACATCTTTCAAATTAGACAAGATCAAGGCTAGAACAGAGTTGATTAGAATGTAGAGATGCCCATCTCTGCTTTTTAGCAAAAATTCACTAGTTGAGCTTTGCAGGAAGTTCTCCTGTGATGATTTTTTATTAAATAAACTACACTACATCTAGGAAACAGTTAAGTATCACAAATAAAAAATTAACAAACGAAATTAAAATAATGTATTTTATTTTTTATAAAACGATTTTTAATGGTTTGTTTACTGCTTGAAAAAAAACCCAGTATCACCAGCCCAGCAATTGCACATTTGCAAGAACAACTTAACATTTTAGATAACATTTATTAATTATCATTGTTTCCAGCTTATTAAATCTTGGGACAAATACTGATAATTTTTCAAAACAAATCTTCCTTAAATTTTAAGTCACACAGAAAAAGGAGGGAAGTGTGGCAGTCTTGTATAAGTAACACTTACCTTGCTTTAGAAAAAACAAACTATGAAAGCAGTGAATTACCCTAAGAGCAATCTCTTTATTGTTTTTACTGTAGCAAGATCTTATTAACACTATTGGAGAAAGTGCTGCCTTGGGAGCTGCTGGCATTGTTATCTGGGGAGACATGAATTTAACTTCATCAGTGGTAAGTCTGTGCCTTTATAGTAATTTAAATGCACTAATGGTGCATACAATCTTCATTCACCGATCTTAAAAGTATTTCCCAAATGACTAAATTCTCTTGAGTTTTCAATTCCAGCTAATCTAACAGCTCATTTAGTGTCCAAAAATTGTCTCCTAAACGAAAAATGTAAATTTTCATGACTGGAAGGGTTATTATGGTAATTAAAGGTTGCCATTGGCCAGTATCAAGCATTTTGGGTGAGAGCCCCCATACTCTTGGCAAGCTTTTACAGATCCCCTTTCCAACTTGATTGATCTGCAGGAAGTCAGCTGAAACCTAATTCACAAAATGGTCACATGCTTCAAGTATTTGTATAGTACCAATTAACTGGAACATTCAGGAGAAGCTGGTGTGTAAATTGTACATGTATTCATTTACAGTGTACAGTCTACATTGCTTTAATAGAGAATATCTTGCATGTTATGATGTCAGGCTTGATCATGGGTGCTGATGGTTGGGGCCCCAACACTTACCTTGAATATACAGAAGCCTGGGCTTCAGCCTTTATCATAAGGAGGAGCTTTTCTTGACTTTGCCCTAAACATTGTATGAAGCACAACTTTTTGGCTACTTTTGCTTTGATGGCAATAATAGGAAAGCTGATTGGTATGGGAATGAAAACCTGTCAGGTGCAAGTAGATAAAATGAATTATCAGTAATGAGATTAATTGCTGTCTAATTGTTTGAACACACATCTCTTGCTCCAGTCAGATTCCAAGACCTTAATGGGACATTCTCAGGTTGTAATTCTTAACTAAGACAACTGTGGCAGCGCACCTTCGGGTGCCTCCCACTTTAAGGGCTGAGGCAGGCAGCCAGCAGGTGCCTGGTTAGGGTGGCCATTTCACAACCCAGTTTATATAGGGGGAGGCAGCAATTTGCTGCCAGTGGCTGCGAGAGAAACATCAGATGGCTGAGCTATGGCTCAAGAACATCGTGGAGGTAAGGGCAGGAGCTATGGGGATGGAGAAGGCTCCTGGTTCTGGGCATTAAAACTGCACCCTGCCAGGGTAGGGAGGCCTGGTGGGACTGCCTGTGGTGGGGCAGTCTCAACTAAATGCCAGGACTGCTAACCTCCCTGGTGAAAGGTGGGTAGGGGTGCCTTAACCCCAGTCCCCACCATCTGGTGGGTAATCATGAGAACTGTGGGAGTAGTGGAGCCAGGTATGCTCATTTGTAGGTACCTGAGCCCAGCAGGGATGTGAGATCCCAGAGGCCCCCGAGCGGGTAGTTGATGAACATGGTGTGAGGTTGAATGAGAGTAGGCCTGAAGGGTTGTGTGTGTGAAGGGGTTGAGTAGGCCTGAACTGGGAGTAGGCCTGAAGGCCAGCGCAAGGGCCAGCCCCATGAGTGGCTATGTATGATGAGGAGACCCCAGGGTTGGGCGTGGTATAGAGTTGGCTGGTGAGGAGTTTGGGGCAAGTGCAGTCCAGCGTTTGTGTAAGGCTATGCCATGTAGAGTAGGGGAACTCATGGGAACTGAAGTTGCTGTGTGGTGGTACCAGGGAGAGAGTACCTAAGCCCAAAAGCCCATGAGAGGTTGCTCAAGAGGAGCTAGGGCAGTGGAGTGTGGCCTGGTATGGCAGTATGCAAAAGGTCCCTATGAGAGCGGGCTTGGAGGGACTGGGAGAGTGAATGGAGCCCAATTATGGACTGAATTTGCCCCAGCCTCAGGCCAGGGGAAGTAATTATAGACTGGATGCCGTCTGTGAGGCATGGGCGGCAGTGTAGGGAAGGTTTGGAGCCACAGATAGCGCCCCTCTGACATCGGGGCAAGGAATGGGCAGCCTCCCACTTAATAAATCAAATTAACAACCAAGTCATGGCAGGTAAGATGAGCCAGACTGCCCTAGGTAGGTGGGCTGACCACTTTGGGATCTGGCTATGAAGTTGCCCCGTCACAACAACCTAGTTGTAATTTAAGTTATTAAAATCATTTTAACTAATTCAGTTTTTAGCTTTAATATTGTTTGCTTGCTTACATTTTGAATATTTAATAGTTTTAAAAAATGTAGACCAATTAATCTCACGTTACTTAACTTCTTTCTGCTGTTTGCAGGGCAACTGTACAAAGGTGAAACAATTCATTGCATCTGAATTGGGGGTCTACATTATCAATGTAACCACAGCAGCAGAGATGTGCAGCAGGCATCTTTGTCACAACAATGGGAGATGTGTACGAAAAAAGTGGACAGCCTTGGACTACCTGCATTTGAATTCTAAAAACTTTAGAATAGAAATTTCAGAGGACCAAGAATTTACAGTGAGGGGAGAAGCATCAAGCACAGATCTGGAAATAATGTCAAAGAAATTTGTTTGTCACTGCTACCAGGGTTACGAAGGAACTGATTGTAGGAAAGTTAAGACTTCTGATGAGCACTCTGGCAGTTCTGCAAATTTCCTCTTATCCAGAACATCAGTCATGATAAGCCTGTTTCCTTTGCCTTTATATTTGTTGGATATTCAGTTATGAGATCATTGAGCTGAATATGTTTTTCTTGACCCTACATTTTGAAAGGACTCACTAAGGTAGTAGTGAAGGATTATGACATTATTCCATTGCTTTTTACACTTCAGGTAATGTAGGAATTAAAATATCACTTGAATGCTATAGAAAATCAGTCACAAAAGCAGGAAATTATTTCTGACTCAGAGACTCGCATGTATTCTACTCTCTGACCAGAGGTTAAATTTTAAAATCTTGTTTTATAATCTTAACCTACATTGTGTGCACATGTCAAAACTTCTGTTTTGTTAACAAATTTAATTAATTAATCAGAAGAACTAAAAGAGTGAGATCATATTTCCAGATTTCATACCTCTCTGTTTCCAAGGGAGAAGTCACACAAGATCAGATCAATAAACACTCTGGCTGTATTGCACAGTCAGGTGACGCTACTCGAATTCTTCTTTCCCAGGCATTGTGTTTAAGACTATTTTGTACCAAAGAAGCTGCAGCATGTCAAGAAATCTGGTCCCCTGTTCACATTTTTTTCATTCTTGTATTTTAAGGACTTGTCTACATGGGGAAGTTGTCTGGACAAAGTGATTACACAAGAATTATTCCACAAATATTCTTGGAAATGCATTACTTATTCTGGAGAAAAAAAGGATTTTTACTGGGGAATAGTGTGCCCACATGGGAAGTTATTCCACAATAGCTCTTATGAAATAACTTAAACTACGTAACTATTCCCATCAATTTTCAAATGCAGATAAACCCTAAGACATACAAGGTCTCTGTCTTGTAACAGCAGATTTAGTTCATGCTATGTCACTAATGGATAGAACTGATTGAAACATTTCCAAAAATACACAATTTATAGACAGTTTTTTCACAGAAATTTCAATTTTCACAAGATTCCTCTGTCTTGTCAAAGATTTTTTTTATGTCGGAAGCAAGTGGTTTTTTGGTGATACCTTATATTGGACCAAATATCTCCTTGGGAGAGCTGTTAGATTTCTTTATGCATTTTATTGGGAAAATTATACCATCTTTTCTATTTCTGCTGACAGATAGAAAAAAGACTCATGAACTAAGAGTCAACTAAAATATAGCAATAGGTCATAATAAATTGTAATGGTCGGCCATGTCAAGCATATCATTTTTAACTTTTAGAGGTAAGATTACTTAGTTTTTAAGTGTTTTTACCAAATCCTTGCCTTTTCTTGTTCACTAGCAGTAACAACTAGGGCCATGTGAAGTTTGGGGTGCAGATTTGATTCAGAGGAGATTTGGCCCAATTCAGTGGCCAAATCTCCAAATCCGAATTAAATCAGGGGACCAATAAAAAGGTCCGAATCAATCTGAAGCTCTCCAAATACTCGGAAAAGATTTGGAGAGCTTTGATGATTTGGGCAGTGCCCACTGGCTGCAGCAAGGAGCTGGAGCCAGACTCAAAGCTGGTAAGTAGGGGCAGGGGAGGCGGGGCTGGAGGAGGGGGAAGGGGACCATGAAGGGACCCCTGCCAGGCCCCATATCCTGCCTGCTCCCTCAGCCCCCACCAGTGCCCCCGACCCCCGCCCACCCCTGCATCATGCTCTCAACAGAGGCTACCATCCCTTCAAATTTCATCTGCATCAACCAAAAGACAAAGTTATAGATATTTCATTGATTCCCCATTATACCCTATGGCCGAATTTCTGAAAATTTTCTGAATCAATTCAAAAGCTCCGAGTAGATTCAGAAAACATAAAGCTTCCCACGATTTGATTCATATTTGTAGATTCGACCTCTGAATCATTTCCAAATGTGAATAATGATCTGAAGCTTTGCACAGCCCTACCCTTCATATCTTCTCCTGGCTGCCATGCCCTATAGTTGCTATACTGCCATGTATAACCCTTTACATAACATAACCATCATAAATAGGGAGGTTTGAAGTAAGCTTATAGCCTGGATCAGGTGGAGGGTGGGCAGTCAGCTCAGCTGGGTTGATTCCCCATCCCCAGTGATGAATATGGTAGGGGGAGGGGAGTCAGCCCACAATATGGTCTTCATCCACAATATGATCTTCAGTGGTGACATATAGGGGGGCAATGGGGGGGTGTGTGCACCCCCTAAGAGCACTGGTGCACACTGTCAGCCAGCTTTCCTGAGTGAGGGGAGGCAAGAGACAGCACTGGGATTGGGAGGGTGGTGGTTTCCCACATGAGCTGATTTGCCCAGGCCCTACACCCTCCTCAGGT